GGGGGGGGGGGGGGGGGGGGGGGGGGGGGGGGGGGGGGGGGGGGGGGGGGGGGGGGGGGGGGGGGGGAGGGGGGGGGCGGGGGGGGGGGGGGGGGGGGGGGGGGGGGGGGGGGGGGGGAAAGATACTAAATTATAACGTACTACTAGTAGCAATATTCTGCGGATTTTGAACAACTGCTACACCTTCATTATTAAGTAATTTCGCCGCGATAGCGTGAGCCTTCTTTATCGCATCTTCATAATCAAATGCATTAACGTTTGCGGCAGCCGAAGTTTCCATTTGTTGAACGTCATCACCGGTAGGGGCTACAATAGTAACTTCCGTCGTTGCATCTGATACACTTTGAACGAGAGGAATCGATGATTGTTGTAATTGTTGTGTTAGAACTTCCATTGATGATGCTACTTCAGGCGAAACTTGATCAGTCTCGTTAGTTGCTTGTTCCGTTTTTTGCAGTTCAGGTAGCTGAGAATTATCCTGATCTATAATCATGGGATGTTGAGCACTCTGCATACCCTGAAAAACTTGAGCGTTTTGAACATTAGGATCGTTCTGAACATTTTGCACATCCTGAACGAAAGGAACGCTTTGAACATCCGGAACTTTATGAAAGTTTTGCTCGTTTTGGAGAATTGGAACGTTCTGGGAGATTTGAATGTTTTGAACACTTTGTTCATTTTGTACAATTTCGGAACTTTGAACATTTTGAACGTCCTGAACGCTTTGCACATCATGAACCGTAGGAGGAATACCCTGAACAATTGGAACGTTTTGATCGTTCTGTACATTTTGGTTATCTTGAACAATCGGATTACTTTGAACATCATGGATAATTGGAGAACTTTGAGAAATTTGAACATCTTGTACAACTTGCACAGCTTGCATATCCTGAGCCGTAGAAGAACTTTGAACGATTTGAACATTATTCTGAACACCTTCATTTGGTTCATTGACGATTTCGGTAATATTCTCAACGGGTTGTTGTACCGTATTCTCCACGATCACAATCTGGTCAGTTGTCATGGTAGTTTCTCCCGTCGAAGCATTTTCAACCGTTTCAACCACGGTGATCTCATCGATCTCATTTTTGACATCAGTTTCGTTCGTCACGTTAATCGCAATTGGTTCCTCGCTTGTTTCATTTGTTACGATCGTTTCGGTTACTTCGGTAACCTGTGGTGTTTGCTCAATCGCGAGTTGGTTTGGAGGCTCTGATGGCTGAACTTGCTGTAATTCCTCAGGTAAAGTAATAATACTAGAAAAGATCTCGTCAATGACCTTTTCCGAAACAGGTGGGACGCTCTCATCAGATAGCCTTTGTTGTTGTACCTCAAGGGGAGGTAGTTCAACTATAGTTGCCATAGAAACTCGGATCCCGGGAATATCATTCATGTTATCTTCCTCTTCAGTTTGTGCAGGAGGAACGTTCCCCGTTGAAGGAGATGGTTTGACAATGGCAATAATATCACCACCATTTTCATTACTTTCCACAACATTGGTTGTTTGCATGGTTGTAGTATCTTCAGGATTTGACGTTTTAACTTCAGATTGTTCTTGGGTTGTCGAAGAATATAAAAGAACTTCCTCTGATGTTTGTTTTGTATCTTCCGGAAGTGCTTGTTGTTCCATTTTTTTATTTTTCTAAACTTGGTTGATGGGACGATTTACTTGTCAGAAAAAAAAAAAAAAAAAAGCCACCATAAAAATTTTTGAATTTGGTTTAGTGCATCAAATATATTGCGCCATATTCACTTTTTTTTTTATTTGAGATAATATCATGTGATTATTTATATTTATTTGACCCCATGACCTTAACCACACACAACTTTTAAGAGTTTTTACATAATTTCATTTTTTTAGGGTTGAATAAAAAAAAAAAGAAATTTACATTATCCAAATGTAAGAAAGCAGGAAACTAACAAAAATTTTAGTAAGATCGAACGATAATTTATTGGACAGACTTTTAGGAGGTTCGTTGAAAGTTTCAGGTTCAGGTGGACTTTGTTTCAATACGGCCTGACCGAATACGGCCTTCTCATCAATTGAATAAAGGTTCAATACGTTAAAATCATTAAATGTTATGGATGGTGTCAACTTAAACTTTATTGATTGTGCCGATTGGTATTGACCCACTGGAGTTGGACTAACTAACATTGCTTCCGCATTGGGATCCGTATAATTACTGCCAAACCAATACCTTTTTTTTTTTTTAAAAAAAAAAAAAAAGAAACCATTGGGAATTAATGAAAATCAAAATAATATGGAAATAATATCAATCAAACAAATACAAAAAAAAAATAAACAAAAAAGAAATATTTTTTTTTCGAAAAACTTACGTGCCGGTAGCCGCGAAAGAGTAAGTAAAACCGGTAACTTCAAAAGTACATCCATCGATGATAGATACAGTTCCTGAAACTGTAACATTTAATCCCCTGAAATTATTTTTTAATTGTTGCAATGGAACGGTAACAATTGTATAATCGCTCACACTACAAAGAGTGGTTCCGTTAGTGGTACCAGGTTTGGGACTAGGAGTGGTACCAGGGGGTGTGCCAGGAGGAGTGGTACTAGGAATTTTTCCAGAAACGGTTTCAGTAACCACTTGTGCCATTGTCAGTTGGAAAGGAAATATGAGAAGGAACGAGAATATTGTAAAAAGAAGAATCATTTCCAATCCTGTTTTTTCCATGATGATTGATGATAGTCTTCCAAACAAATTTTTTTTTTTTTTATTTGTAATGAATGTTAAAAATTATATTCTTTTTAATTTTGTAATTAATATTAAAGATTATTTTCTATAAAAATAGTTATTCTTAAAAAGGGGTTCGTTATTAAACGGACGTATTTAAAAAATTATTAAAAATTATTAAAAAAGATAAATATTTATATAAGTGAAAAACCTATTTTAACTTGACCTTTCATTTTTGATGTTAATTTTTGAAATAGAAGAGGGAACAGATGGAAAGCGGGAAATGAACATTGTTATTCTATTTATACCTGTTTATCTTTTCCACAATGATCTCATTTGAAAACGCGGGAGTAACAAGGAGTTAACGGGTTTGTAAGATCCTGACTATCATTTGTATATCATTTTAATCAGTCATACTTCTTTATTAATTAAATAGGTTTTACAAATATATTAATATGAATAATTGCTTGAAAGAAAAATTTTGATGTCTATAAAATTTTTCTAAAAAAAATTAATTTGATGAGCAATATTTAAAACAAGGCGATCATTGATCCTACAAAGGTTGCAAAGCTCAAACCATTTGCAATTAAAGAGGAAGCACCCGATTTGTTTGGAGAACTTTGTTTTTGAAATTCTGCTGGATTTTGTTTTGTATCACCGATTTGGCCATCTAAAGAAGAAAATTTGATTAATTAATCAAACCAGTGTTACACAAGGGAAAAACGTGTTAACCTCAAATATTTACCTAGAAAAGATTCCCCGCATTTTCCGGTTAAAGCACTTTTGGCATTTTCCACATCTTTATCGTTATAATCTTTAATGTCTGTGAATGCTTCAGGATGTTGTTTTTGATAGTTATTAAAAGTATTAGCAATGGCCTTGTTACAAGGAGTACAAACTTGCTCTTTTGGTGCACCAACAAAAGTAAGGATGGGACTCTGGTCTTTTGGCGCATTTTCAAAAATTTGTTTCGCAGCAGAATAACTTTCAATCAAACAATAACCATCCGTAGAATTCTTAAAGCACATGGAATCTCTTGACGGAGAATAAAGAGAAATTGCGACATCAATCAAAGTTACAGCGTCATTATTAGCTTTTAAATCTTGTTGACACGCAGCTCTGAAATCTTTTTGAGTTGAGGCTATGAGGCTATCGGAACATTTTGGAAGACTACAAATTGAATCGGCCACAGTTTTCATGACGGTCTCTTTGTCTCCTTTTTGAGAACCAGTGAATAATGAAGCTAATGATGAAATTGGAATGCAAGCGTTGATTTCTTGGGAACCGATTAATTTTTGCGCTTCATCCATACAGCTTTGTGAAAGGCCCATATCATCAAATTGGGCGGAACTCAAAGTCGTCGATGCAAGGATTACGAGGGTAATAATGGAAGTGTATCTCATTTTTACTAGTTTGTTTTGAATCTTGTTAAAATGTAAATTTTTTCGGTTGTTTTTGTCTTTTAACAAATGATACGGTGAATTGAATTATTATTTAAATAAAGAAAAATGGGAATAGCAATTATTTTTATGCCAAGAAATATCTCCCAACCTATTTATATCTTTATAGTGAAATTCGGTACCGCGTGTTTAAAGAATACAAATTAATAACCATAGTACTTATTTGTATTTATGGGGTAACTAAAATAAATATATATACCATTTTTAGGTCACTGCACGCGCGATCATGTACTTACATGATGTAAATCTTGACATTTTTTTCACGTGATGTATAAAATTGGACCTATAATAGGCAAGTGCCACATCGTTTGCTTTGCCAAGAACTTATTAATTCGGATGCATTGAAACATCATTTATGTCACGATTTTCTAATTAGCGAGATTGAAAATCCGGGTAATTAGAGAAAATAAAAAAAAAAAAACCTCAAAGGAAATAACTCCAAAGCTTTTTCATAATCTTGCTTTTTCCGACTACTAATTGACAATTAGGATAACGATAAATAAAATTGAATAAAAATAGTAGATTGACAAATTAACCAATTGGATTACAGCATCAGTATCACGTAATATAACTTGAATTTTGATGTTCGAATTTCTTTCCATTTGAACGTTTATATTATTATAGTTATGTCGGTTGTAACAATTTTTGTACAAAGTGATAACGCGTCTTCTGAAAGACGCTTTGATAAAGGCCTTACTATAAGACAACTTCGAGTATGTTCCTTCTGTTTAAAAACTTGTTTCCTTTATTAAAAATAAATATATTTTAAAATTTACCCTTTTACAGATTAAACTTGAGCCTATTACAGGCATTTCTGCCGATTCACAAGTTTTACAACTATTTAATGGAGATACTTTGGTTACTTCCGTTGAAGGGGATGATTATATGCTAGGCGCTTTTCCGGTGGACAATTTTATGACACTCAAGGTAAATCATTTTCTTTGTGCTTTTTTTCATCTCTGAGATAATAAATATAATTTTTTTTTTTTAATTCAATTAGGTCATTGATGCAAATCCTAGTAACAATCGAAATCAATTTACAGATTTATCACTTGTGGAAAAATATGAATTACCCGATGATGAATATGCTAAACGATCGGGTAAAATTATTTATTGAGCTATTTGATTTGGTTTTAATCGAAAATAAATAACATTTAAATTTTTACATAAACTATTATAAAAAAGTTAGACTCGGTACTTGCATTTAAGCAACGTAATAAGTTGGGACGATTTGGCGATTCCAAATCTTTTACTTCAGATTATACATTTGAAGAGGAAGCAAAGAATATTAAAGTGGGCGATCGTTGTGAAGTTGATTTTGGTGAAGGAAATGAAGAGGGACTTAAAAGACGCGGTATTATAAAATATGTTGGTACGTCTCTCAATTTTCCGGTTTTATTGATTTATTTGAATTATGACCACCATTATTTAAATCAAAATTTGCTTGTTTACTGCAGGAGAGACTAAATTTAAGCCAGGTTATTGGATTGGTGTTCAATATGATGAGCCTGTCGGAAAACATGATGGAACGTATGTATTATAAAGATCTTTGATAATTTTTATTTTTTTTAAAATGTTTTTGATCGCTCAACCTTTTTATTATTTGATCAAGTGTTCAGGGAGAACGTTATTTTGAATGCCCTCCAAAATATGGAGCGTTTGTTAGACCAAATAAAGTTAAAGTTGGAGATTATCCCGAAGAAAATCTTGAGGATGAAGAAATGTAGAAATAAAAAATATTTTTATTTTTAAATTATGAAAATGATATATGAAAAAATTTTAATCCGTGATAAATATTTAAATTATACAATCTATTAACCATGTTATTTCATAGTTCCAGCTTCAGGAATTGACACCCCTTTAAATTCTTGATTACATTTTGTGCAAACAGTTTTTCTCTTTGCATATCCGCAAAACCTTGGTAAACCTAAACAAAATGCCCAAAATAATGTGCCACTTGTACTAAATCGAAATAAAAGATACTTTATTTTAAAGTAATTATAATAAGAATTTTAAAACCAAAGTGAAAAAAAAAAAGAATACTTACTAATGTAGCCTTAATTCGTGATCCCCACCTTTTGGACAAGGACCTAAAGATGCTGCTATATTTCGTTGCTCATTTACTGCCGCATCTATGAACAAGAGAGAATATATATTGGATCTGATATTCTTTATATTCGGAATACTTGTATGTTCAAAATATTTCTTACCCTCATAAGGTTTGTACGTTTCATTGGATCCACTAGATCCACCAGGATAAGTAGACATCGTGAAAGTAGAATAATTTACCTATGGAACTTTGGGTAACATTAAATATTTTTTTTTTGTTTGACTAATATTCGTAAATTAATTAATGGCATTGAAATCACGACTTATTATGATTAGTTGTGGGGTTAGTCATAAGGAAAGGTAGTTATCACTCGTATTTACTGTGTAATCTTCTAAAATAAGAATGATTCATTCCGGGGATTACCATTTAATTTTAAATTGGACAAGTGTTATTTTAAGGCAAATAAATTGTAAATCATTTCCTCATTTTGTATATACTTCGGATATGAGCTAAAAACGCACGGAATTTATTGTTGCATGGTATTATGTCAATAAAATCTTTTGATTTGTTTCCATGTAAAAATAAACTTTATGTACACTCCCCGGTCAAAAGTATTGGACCACTTTAAAATTATCGCAATTTTTAAATTTAATAGCCAACTTTA